GAAACTAGCTTTCACATGCAAAAACTAAAACAACGTTTAATTTAATTAGGCAGGGCAGTATGTAAATATATATATATATATATATATATATATATATATATATATATATATATATATATTCAAAACGAACGGCAAATATGAAACCGAGTAAGTGAAGGCTGAAGCTAGCGACTCTTACTAACTAATACTGTATTATAATTCACAAAAAAAGATATAGTAGTATTAAAGAAACTGTTGCATTGCTCTCAGCTACAACTCTTGTTTGGTTCATTGAAAAGACAACTTTATCAGTCAACCAATTATGGAAAGAACCAACAGCATTCTTATGTTTGTGTTGTTTCATCTCTTTAGTACTGCTTCTTTGGCTATTAATCATCCCAATGATGAAGCTGCTCTTCTTGCCTTCAAATCTCACATTTCTTCTTCTGATCCTAATAACTTGTTACGAAGCAACTGGTCTGTTTCCGCCCCAGTTTGCAGCTGGATTGGCATTACTTGCAGCTCGCGCCACCATAGAGTCACTGCTTTAGACATTTCTAGCATGCAACTTCGCGGTACCATTCCACCACACCTCGGAAATCTCTCATTTCTTGTTTCCCTCGACATCAGTAACAACAGTTTTCGTGGCGATCTGCCACAAGAGTTGTCTCTTTTGCTAAGGTTGAAACTTATTGATGTTACACGAAATAATTTTAGTGGTCCTATTCCATCAGTCTTAAGTTTGTTACCTAACCTTCGATTCCTCTACCTTTCGAGCAACCAATTTTCAGGGGAAATCCCATCTTCCTTCTCCAATCTAACAAATCTTCAACAGTTAAGAGTGCAGAGGAATTCTCTTCGAGGAAAGATCCCTCCTGAAATTGGCGACCTTCGTTACTTAACAATGTTAGACCTACAAGGTAATCATCTCATCTAAAAGCTTGAACCGTTAGAGAGTGCATGCATATTTTCATTTACTTCATTATTATATACAGAGGCAGAGCCAGTATTTGAAGCTTATGGGTTCAGGACTATAGTTCTTTTAAGTCACCAGGTTCTAAATTGATAATTTGCAGTTAATTTCTTAAGACAAATATAAGGTTTGGACCAAAACTACTGGGTTCAGCCGAACCATAGTGGAAGGGCTAGCTCCGCCCCTGATTATATATTCAACATGCCCCTTCACATGCGGGCCTAGTTGATCTTCTTGATTGGTCATGTTGATGTATGTAATCGCCTAATCTAAAAGTTTAATTATGTATTCAACAGGTAACCGGCTTACTGGCTCTATACCACCATCAATCTTCAACATGACTTCCCTGAGACAACTCGCCTTAATTCGCAATCGTCTTATTGGTAAACTTCCTGTAGATATTTGTAACAATCTCCCAAATCTTGAAATGCTCTATCTCTCAAGCAACATCCTAGATGGCCTAATCCCACCAAATTTAGAGAAATGCTCAAAGCTTAAAAATTTGACATTGTCTGGAAATCAGTTCACTGGAACTATACCTAGAGAACTTGGGAACTTAACTATGCTCACATTGTTGCATCTTGGAAAAAACCTTTTAGAAGGTATGAATTATCTTTCAGCTTTTGTTTTTTATTGTAAGATTTCTCAATAGCTAATCAATATCAGTTTGAGCTAATCTTTATGCATTTTACTCTAATTGCTAGGAGAAATACCAGTTGAGATAGGCAATCTACAAAACCTTCAAGTGCTTGGGTTAATAGGTAACTTCTTAAGTGGTTCTATTCCTGCAAATATTTTCAACATTTCAGCATTGAAGATGCTTACCATATATGGAAATCAGATATCAGGTAGTTTACCTTCAGATTTAGGCCTTGGAACACCAAATCTTGAAGAAGTTTACCTTGGATCGAATGATCTCAGCGGAAGAATTGCTCCTACAATCTCAAATGCTTCAAGGCTAATTATTATAGACCTAACAATCAACAAATTTACAGGTCCAATTCCTAATTCACTTGGTACCTTAGAGTTTCTTGAAGTCCTATACTTGGGTGATAACAACTTCATTAATGAGCCATCTTCATCTGAGTTAAGCTTCCTTACATCCCTGACTAATTGTAGATATTTAAGAGAAGTGGCCATTGAAGAGAATCCTTTCAATGGTTTTCTTCCAGCTTCTATTGGAAATTTTTCCGATTCTCTTTGGAAGTTTATTGCACATAGAAGCAAACTGAAGGGCACCATACCAGAAGAAGTTGGAAATCTAAGCGGCTTAAGTGTGCTAGCTCTGTCTCATAATAACCTCAATGGTCCCATTCCTGAGAACTTGAGAACAATGCAAAATCTTCAAGAATTTTACTTAGAAAATAACAGTCTAAGAGGAACAATACCTGATGATATCTGCAGTTTACAGAATCTTGGAGCTTTAGACTTGACTTCTAATCAAATTTCTGGTTCAGTTCCAGCTTGTTTAGGAAAAGTGTCTACTTTAAGATATCTGCTTTTAGGTTTCAACAGATTGAATTCCACCTTACCTGAAAGCCTGTGGAGTCTTCAAGATCTCTTAGAACTGAGTGCATCATCAAATCTATTAAGCGGGCGTATACCTCCTGAGATTGGTAATCTAAAAGTTGCGATACTAATTGATCTATCCAAAAATGATTTTTCTGGTAATATTCCTAGTACTATAGGGGGTCTTGAAACATTGATTAGTCTCTCAATGGCACATAATAAATTAGAAGGGCCTATTCCAAGTTCATTTGGTAAAATGGTAGGCTTGGAATTCTTGGATTTCTCTTACAACAATCTTGCTAGTGAAATTCCAAAGTCACTTGAAGCACTCTCACACCTTAACTACTTCAACATCTCTTTTAACAAGTTAAAGGGAGAAATTCCCTCTGGTGGTCCTTTTGTAAATTTCACCGGTCAATCTTTCATGTCCAATGATGCACTCTGTGGTGCTTCTCGCTTTAATGTGTCACCATGCCTCGTCAAATCCGCCAAGAAATCAAGGAGAAAGAGAGTGCTTATAGGACTATTTATTCTATTAGGGATTGGATCAATGTTTCTAGCATTTGTCCTTGGATATATGCTGTTAAGATGGCAAAAGAAAAAGAAGAATTCAGGTCAAACAGATGAGTCTTTTGTGAAAGGACATGACAGAATATCATATCATGAACTTCAACAAGCAACTGAAGGATTCAGTGAGAGCAATTTGCTTGGTAATGGGAGTTTCAGCATGGTGTACAAAGGGATACTTAAAGATGGGACTATTTTGGCAGCAAAGGTATTCAATGTGCATTTGGAGAGAGCATTTAAGAGCTTTGACACAGAATGTGAGATACTACGCAACCTTCGCCATAGAAATCTCACAAGAGTGATCACTAGTTGTTCCAACCCAGACTTCAAAGCCTTAGTATTGGAGTACATGCCCAATGGAACACTTGATAAGTGGCTATACTCTCATAATTTGTTCTTAGACATGTTGCAGAGGCTGGATATTATGATAGATGTGGCATCGGCGTTAGATTATCTCCACAATGGGTATCCAACACCTGTGGTGCATTGTGATCTGAAGCCAAGCAATGTCTTGCTAGATCAAGAAATGATTGGTCATGTGAGTGATTTTGGCATTGCAAAGTTGCTAGGTGCAGGGGAAACTTTTGTCCAAACAAGGACTATTGCAACCATTGGATACATTGCTCCAGGTAATAGAACCTTTCAAACTTGGTATGCTGTAGATTTTCCATTTCAAAATTATATTCCATGGTAATAAGGAGTACTTTAGGTCATGAACTAACAAAATTTCCCCCTTGATTGCCAGAGTATGGACAGGATGGAATAGTATCCAAAAATTGTGATGTCTATAGTTTCGGCATCATGATGATGGAAACATTTACTAGGATGAGGCCAAGTGATGATATGTTTACTGGAGATTTGAGCCTAAGATGTTGGATTAATGATTCTTTTCCTAGTGGAGTTGGTCAAGTTGTGGATGCCAATTTGTTGAGGCCAGAGGAAGGACATATTGAAGCCAAGATTCAATGTTTGTTGTCTATTATGGAATTAGCTTTGAGTTGCACTTTAGTGTCAGCTGATGCAAGAGTTAACATGGAAAATGCTCTTTCGGCCCTCAGGAAGATAAGATTTCAGTTTGCCACTAGTTGTGTTAGGACTTAAAAGAAAAGGTTCTTCTACTCCACATGATGTATGTTCTGTGTGTGATTCAGAGCTTGTAAAGAAATAAGCTATATGATATAATTACTCAAAAAATAAAGTAACAGACCTATGACTTCAAATTCCATCGATAGCTCAATGGAGTTGGTGAGAAGTATAGAATGCATAGGGATAAATGCATACAAAAAGTTAGTTCTCTTATCCTCGTAAAGAATATGCAGAAATTAATAAACTTAAGAAAAACAGGTCTACAACTAAATGGAGCCTCATGTTTCTTTACAGTAACTGCTTTTCTCCAGACCAAGGATTTCTACATAGATTAAGCAGGACAAGACTTTAACTGTACACCTTTCTCAGTCCGCTCAGGTCGATATCTGTAATATCCAATGGAATGAGAATAGATATGTCCTAGGATGCCATTTCTGATCATTGTTTTGCAGGTGAACTCACAGAGCTTATCACAGTTCATCAGAGAAATGTAGTCAATGTGGTTGATACGCCTACACAAGGCTCTCAGGCTATTAGAGCATCAGCCGCATGTCAATTGCAGTAGCCTCTTTGAAGCAACTATAAGTATTCACATTGCAGTTGGAAATAATAAGCTCGAATTAATAACTTCTACTACATCAAGGTGCCACTTCTAGTGTTGCTGTAGTCCTCTCGGACCAGCTACTAATCTTCACCTTGGTAAACTATTGCTTCAGAACTAGCTAATCAGACGAGAACCCCTCCACAGATTCCTCCTTTTATCATATTTGCTTTAGTTGAAGAAAATCAATAAAGAAATATCAGAACAAATAATCACTGAGAATTTTGCAAGAATATCCAATTTGGAATAATAAAGGGAGAGATTCTGGCAGGAATATCCGTCCACTTTGAATTCTAAAGAAAAGGTCCAGAATAAATTATCACTACTACATAGAAACTGAAAAAAAAGGGAAAATACCAATGCAGTGAATCCTGATCAGTCTTTTATTACATGGAGAGCACACCATCTTTCCTTAAGCATTGTTGTTGACACCACTAAACTACCTAGTCAACTGCCTGGATTACACCAAAAAGCACTCGGTCATTAATTTCTATTTTCCAAGTGCCCGCCTCCATAACTATCACTCAGGTACCTCCACAAGCTACAAAATAACTCAAACCATTCAAGTGCCTGCACAAGCTACTAAATGACAACCCCCATAGGGGGCAAATTTAACAAGAAATGCTTAAGCAAAAGTCCTACTACATTTCCATTAACTTTCAAATGCGCCCAAATCGTATTAGCTGCACTAGCGCATGATTCCATTAGCAGGAATAAATCAAAGAAGTGACAAGCACACAATTTCAACAACATTACTGAAGGGAATCGGCTGCAGGGACTGGATGATGGTTTACAACCACAGGAGGCCGAAGAGCTTTGTGATTAGCTACATTTTCCTTGCGTGCCTTGTACATCTCTTCTGTCTCAATGACAACCAACCTTTTCACCTAAGATCAGTATGAGAAATGTAAAATGAATAATTACTAGTACCTCAAATGAAAACAAGAGGAGAGCACTCATTCAACTAATTCATATTAATAGCAAGCCAATTTTAAAACCTGCTGAAGCATTCCCCTAACAGTAGGGGTGTTCCACCGCATTACAGTCCTGTTGCATTTGCGAAGGCGCAGTGCCTCTAAGGTACGTCTATGGAGCCTTCTAGTGCCGGGAATACCCCTTACAAGGGTTATGTATAGATTAGGGCTCCAAGCTACTGGAACACAAGCTTTAAAAGCGTTGTAAGCACTCATCTCTTTCCTGTTTTACTGGTTTTTACTTTCCTGTGGCAGAAGTAACGTAAAACTTTCCATCAAATATTTTCAAATAGGAAGCTAGGGAAGGAGGTACAGGATCTAAAAAATCTGCTTCGCGTGGATATTTATATTTCTCACAATTAAACAAAATATAGCTAAGTGACAGCATGCGGAGCAATGAACTTATTAAGAAAACACACCTAAACCAGATAACAATCTAAGTAACAAGATGGATTAAAAAAATTTAACTGAAAAAAAAAAAA